TGGTTAACTTCCCAAATGCTTGCAATAGCCTGGATTAGGCCAGGCCCAAGCCAAAAGCCACGAACTCCATCACAGTGCCCACATCGGTGGCAGGAACCCAAGTGCTTGGGCCATCATCCACTGCTTCCCAGGCACATTAGCAGGGAGTTGGATGAAAAGTGGAGAGCAGCTGGGACACAAATCCGGCACACTGATACAGGATGTGCATATCCCAAGTGGTGTGTTAACCTGCGAAACAGCGGCTCTATGAACCATTTCTGTAATCTTCCAATCTTTTAATCCCACAAGAATGAGGGGTAGGAGTCTGGTATAGCTGGGGATAGCTGCATCCCATATGAGAATGTCTGGTTCAAGTCCTGGCTAATGATTACTCTGGGGGCGCAGCAAACAATGGCTCAAGTATTTGGGTCCCTGCAAGCCACATGGGAGACGTGGACTGAGTTCCCAGCTCCCAGCGTGGGCCTTGCTCAGCCTTCGCTGTTGCATGCATTTAGGGAGTGAAGCAGTAGATACGTGATCTCTGTCTCTCTGCCTTCAGATTCAATGAATAAATAAATGAGAGAGAAAGAGAATCTATATTTAAGGGCAACTGGGTGTAAAGCAATGTATTAGAGGCTTTTAGATAGGTCAATTTACTTGACTCTCACAGCAGGCTCATGGATCCATTTTACATTTGAAAAACAAACTCAAAAAGGTTCAGTGACTTTTTAATGTCATAAGCTGGTATAAAAAGGGGGGTGGGGGGAGGCAGGCACTGTGGCTTAGTGGGTAAAGCCACCTCCTGCAGTGCTGGCATCTGACATGGATGGGATGCTCTACTTCCAATCCAGCTCTCTGCTATGGCCTGGGAAAGAAGGAGATGGGCCCAGTACTTGGGCCCTAGCACCTCCTTGGGAGACCAGGAAGAAGCACCTGGCACCAGGCTTCGGATAGGCTCAGCTCCAACTTTATGGCTATTTGGGGAGAGAACCAGCTGGTGGAAGACAGTGGGGGGGAAGACCTCTCTCTCTCTGCCTCTGTCTCTCTGTAACTTTGCCTTTCAAATAAATAAATAAATCTTTTAAAAAAAAAAAAGATGGCTGATATTTTTTTTTTAAATTCTGGTTTCTTTTCTGCTCATTACAAAACCCCACTTGTGTGTCTGCTGCTGTGGAAGACATAAACATGTAAATGCCACTGATGGCTTCACAGTGAGTCAGCTAAAGTTAGAGGATTTTAGAAGTAGAAGGGACCTTTTAAAGCATAGAATCTAACTCTTATATGCGTTAGATGAGTATTATAATCCCCAGAGAGATAAATTCCCCTTTGCATAAATTTTAGTAGCTGAGCTGGGATCAAAATTCAACTGTGTCACTCCCCCTCTTCGTGGAGGAACGACACAGGACCCTGCGTTGTTCTTTTGTCTGCTCGGCCCTTCCTGGGTTTGCTGCTGGTTTTTCCTGGGTTGGCTACCGTCCCTTCCACCTCCGTGGAAGGGCGGTTCCCCCTAGCCACTTTCCCCACTTCCGCAGGGGAGCGGCACACCGCCGGCCGGCTCTTCTCGGGGGCTGCACAGGTGTTCCCTTAGATGTTCCCCTTAGATGTTCCTGGTGCATGCTGTCTCTCTCCTCCTTTATAGTCCTCCTCTGCCAATCCCAACTCGGCTGCCCACACGCCGAGCACGCCGCTCTCCTCCAATCAGGAGCAGCTCCTGCAGCTTGTCAAGCTGGTGAGAGGCAGCTGGGTAGAAGCTGTTTACTCCTCTCCCAGCGCCATATTGTGGGAGAGCAGATGCATAGAATAAGTCTTAATTCCAGTAACTCAGTCCAGTCCGGGCTGCTCCCCACAAACTGGATGAAATCTTCACTTAGCATATACTAAGTTGATCTTCTGTATATAAAGATAATTGAAAATGAATCTTGATGAAGAATGGGATGGGAGAAGGAATGGGAGATGGGAGGGTTGCAGGAGGGAGGGAGGTTATGGGGGGAAAAGCCACTATAATCCCAAAGTTTTACTTTGGAAATTTATATTTATTAAATAAAAGTTAAAAAAACAAAATTAAAAAAATTTAAACTTGAGACAGTATAGCTAAGTGGTTAAGAGTAAGGCCTTGGGTGTCATATGTGTTGATTTGAAACCACAGCCCTGGTACTTAAAGAACTGTATGGACTAGGTCAATTTACAAAGCTTATGTTTGCCTCAGATTTCTTATCTGTAAGAACAGGATAGGAATACTCACTCATAGTGCTGGAAGAGTTAAATATAACACTGCATAGCAGAGAGTAAGCCCTCAGTAAATATTAAGTATTCTCTCATCTCCTTCCTCACAGTTCAGACTTCTTTGCAGGATACCACACTGCTTTTTATGAATGAGTGTGGAATGGACTTTTTATAGTTACTGTAAGGATAAATAAGCATTCATTTATCTATATGGTAAATTCTTTTAAAAAACGCACAAACACTTCTTAGTGGATACATAACTTTTTTAAAGGAATTAGAATTACTCATTCAGTAAATATCTATCGAGGTACTGATATGTGCTGGGTAGAGTGGCAGATGCTGGACTGAGATGTTGAATAGGCAGTGAAGTCTGATAGAAAGCGAAGCATCACTGAGATTTACCTGAATGATATGGAAAACAATCTTTCACATAATCAATTCAAAACAATATAATCGAATAAACATTAGTATCTAAGGTTAACCGTACACAAATAGTTGTGCCTTTCTGTAAAGCAGATATTCTTTAGAATTAAGTTTTTTGTCATTTCTACAATTGGACATTTTAACTAGATTTTAGTAAACTTCCTGACAGGCTGTTTGTATTTTCCCACATAAAACAGGCTTTTGGGATGGGGAGGTTTAACTAAGCATACTCTGTTAAAATGGTTGATAATTACCATGTTTGAGGGCCATAGGAATGGAATATAATGGTTTTGCTTTTTAGAATTTGTACTTATTTTTAGAATTTGTACTTATTCCCTCATTTTTTCTCTTCTACACACACTCATTTATACAAATATGTGTGTGAAAGCTGCCTAAAGAAACAGCTGACATTCTGGACCAAGAACTACCAACATACTGATAATCTCCAGATCTTTTGTTTTTGTTTCAGGTATTATGCCAATATATAGTACAATACATATATTTATTTGAATTAGATGATAAAATTGGTGAAGGATCAACACAGAAAACAAATTGCAACATTTACATATTAAAATCACCTTATGGTGACAAATCCATTCTTTAAATCCCTTTTTCCTCAAGTTTTACTATCCATTGACTACGAAATGTGACATATCATTCATACAAAATTTTGCCTGAGTGAAAAGAATGATTCTCTCATGTTTATTCATGAGAGGAAGTATAGAACACAGTAAAAAGAGTCAAAGTGTAGTCAGCAGACTAGATTCAAATATCAATTGTGCATTTAATGATGTAATGTGTGGGAAATCACCACCTCTAAGTCTCAATATAAAATGTTTTGCAAATAGGGATAATATGAATTCTATTTTTTAAGTATTTATTTTATTTAAAAGCAGAGAGACAGAAAGGGGGAAGGGGAAGGGAGGGAGAAAAAGAAAAAAGAGAGAGAGGGAGATGGAGGGAGGGAGGTAGTGAGGGAGGGAAGGAAGGGGAGAGAGGGAGAGGCAGATCTCCCACCAGCTAGTTCACTCCCAAATGCTTGCAATAGCCAAGGCTGAGCCAAGTGAAGCCAGGAGCAGGGAATTTGGTCCAGGTATCCTAGGTGGATTGCAGGGATGCAACTACCTGAGCTATCATCTGCTGCCTCATTAGCAGGAAGTTGGAATCTAGAGCAGAGCCAAACCTTGAACCCAGGCCCTCTACTATGGGATGTGTCTTAATCGCTAGACCAAGAACCCACTGATTCCTTTTATTATTATTAGATGTATTGATTCAAACCACAGCTCTGGTACCTAAAGAACTGTGTAAACTAGGCCAATTTACAAGGCTTATGTTTGCATTAAATGAACGTAAAGTACCTGGAAGACAGTAACCTGTGTGGTATTAGTGGTTCGCTTCATTAATTTGAACGGAAAAAAATCAGGGGCAATAATTGCCAAAAAATTTTCAATTACAAAAACTGTAATCTCTTTGAAATAATGCACAATTCTTTCAATTGGAGAAGTAAAGAGGAAATACAGAATTCAATAAAATGGAAAAGCTCAGATTACAGGTCGATCATAAAAGTTTGCTGAATTAATAACCAATAAGGAGGACGGAAGACTAGCATGCTGTGCTAACGTGGCTGCACACATCCTTCCAGTCTTCGAATAAATGAGCACTTCCCTCCCTTATCGCGTTGTCGGAAGCCTGTCTCTTTCCCACTCTCCTGGTTACTTCGGACCTCCAGCCAAACACTCTCCGGAAGCCTTCGTTGCCTGGAGCAGAGCGCGGGCGTTCCTTTCTCTAACGCACCCCTACTTCCCGACGTGCATCTAAAGCCCATGCATGAAATGGGATGCTTGTTCTATTTCAAGAGGTCACAGCAGCCAGGTACACAAAGGGCATCCTCCTCTCCCAATTCAAACCGCAGCGGGAACGTCCAATTAATCGTATCAGAAACGACCCCCTCACCCCCACCTCCCTAACGCTCCAGGCGCTGCACCCCCGAACTACGGAAAACAGCACCGAGGAAGAGGACGATAAAGCAGCTCTCGAAATTCAAGGGTGAGCAGACGCTACCCAGGGAGCAGGGTGGGCGCCTCCTTCACCACCCAGCGCAGTCACGGCACAAGGTGTCCTCCGCCTCGCGCAGGGACACGTGCGGACCCCAGCTCGAGTTCCAAGCTGGAGGCAGATACTGAGAGTTAAGACCCTAGGCCAGGGCTCCCGGGCCTTCTCCCGCGGCGCAGAGGGTCAAGAGCCACGGAGTCGGACGGGGACTCCTTAAGGTTCAACCCTGGCTCACTCGCTTCTCACTCCGGCCAAGATGCCGCGCGGAGCTGCATCCGGCCGGAAGTAACAGCACCGGGAGACAACCAGGATAAATCACTCACCCGCCTCTCACCTCGGGCGCCGAGCTAGCCGTAGCCTGCTGACCCGCCGGCCGGAATCAAGCCCGGCACCACCTCAGAACACCCTGGCGACGGCCCGAGAGCGTCACTGACAACCACCCGGAAGTGGCACAACCGCTTCCGGGGCAGCCTGGCGCGCGGCGGGAAATTATTTCCCAGAGCCCGGATTAGTGAAGCGGCGAGTGCTGCAGCGGCGGTCGTCGCCCGTGCTGCCGCCGCCGCAACCGGACGGAAGCAGTCCAGACACCCTGAACGGGAAGGTAAAGGGCCTCAGCTCGGAAGACACAGTTTACCCTGACTCTGTGGGGTTGTTTCTTCCCCGGGCCGTGCCTCCCAAGTTTCTGCCGTGACGCCGGCCAGAGGCTGGGCTGAGCGGCGGCGGTGGCCGGCGCTCGCGCTTCCGGAAGCCGCCGTTCGTTCCCGCTGCCCCGACCCCTGGCGTTGAGCGCCGCTGCTGCTGCTGCTGCTGCTGCTGGTGGTGGTGGTGGGCTGGAGCTGCAGAAGCCCCCCACCGGGCCCTCCCGGGCCGCAGCACCGCCGGCCGCAGAGCGGGACTGAGCCGCTTCTTCGTCCGTCTGCCGCTGGCGCAGCTCAGTTCTCTCCGGGGAGGCGCTAGGCCCCCCGCGTCTCTCGTTTCCATAGAACCGCCAGGGACGCCTCTGCCCGGATCCCAGATTCTTGGCCGCTTTCCATAATGTGGCGTCAGGGAAGGTGGCGGGGATCCCTCGGGCCCACCTTCCTATGACGAAGAAAATCGTGCCGTTCTTTCCTCCCGAGTAGAATTTTGTAACATCGCCAGGCGACCGGGATCGCGTCCCTGGCGACTGTAGGCCTTCAAAAACACAAAACACTCGCACAAGACACGCACACACAGACACAGGTGCTTTCTCCCGAGGGGAGGACTGTTCCTGGGGATTCTGTGTCGGGCGCCCGAGGGCTGGGGACGCGACCGACTGGTGATCCTGAGATTGCTTCCTTATCCACAGCCGCTGAGTAAAAATATTCACAAGAAGTTGGGTTGCCCCAGGTACTCCGCTATGGGTGTGTGACCCTGGAGTTTGATTTTTGAGGCGCCGAGCTTTTTTTTTTTTTTTTTTAAAGGAATGATGATCTTACAAAAAAGAAAAAAAATGTTTTTCTCATTGAGACATTGGGACTGGACATTTAAACAGTTAAAAGCATCCATGTGACAGACCCCGTGCGTTGTGGACTTCTCGGTTCATGTATTTTGTTGTGCTTAATTCCAGGCAGTATGTTGATGGGCAAGGTGTTCCCCTTACTGGAAACTATGTAGCCTGTTTTACAGGTGTGCGGTACCTAAGTTGATGGTTCGGTGTGGATTTGCATGAAGGAGTAAATTAGATTATTTCGAAGTTTAGTGATTCAGGACAAACACCTGAGTGTGGCAAGAAATTCTATTGAAGGGAATAAAACTCTGAGATCTGTTTTCTCAATCCAGATTTTGTTAGGTCTTACTGATTGGAGTGATGTTCAATTATGATGTAAGATTTCTCCCTTCCCTGAAACAGAAAGCATAGATCATGTGAAGGCCTTGTGAAAAGGTAGTCAAATCCGGTTCCTCTCCATAATCAAGATTAAGAGCCCTAAAGATTATATAGTAAGTATCCACAATTTCTGCTGATACCCAAAACGATTAGTTTTTAGAAAACCAGTAGTTTAGCTTTATTATTTAGACAGTATTTCCCTTTGTGTATCTTGATTATATTCTGAAAAACTGCATGTAAGCTCTGAAAAATAAAACCTAGAGAACGTGAAGAGCACTTTTTCTCAAAAGTAGGACCACCCTCCAATTCAGATGTCACTTTTGGTGTATTTCCTTGTCCCTAGCACATTAAGATAAATAGACACAGAAGCTTTTAACTAGTAACGTGCAGCCAGCTGAAAGTGGAATGCCTTTCACCTGCATTGGAGCCGGATGTTAACGCTGTGATTCACTTTCTACCAATAGAAAATAGATTTCTAAAATAGAGGTGGGGAAGGTCTGGCTTGCCAGCCATGTAAGGCCAAAGAAATCATTGATCCAGCCCTGCCAAGGTAACTGCAAGCAGCACTTGAAATTCAGTAAATCTATAGCAGGCTGATTTTTAAGCTGAGAATTTTGTTTGGACCATGAATAGTGTTGTAAATATCCGAATCACCCTTAAGGAGGAAAAAGCTGCTCCACCCCGGCATATACTAATGTACTCTTTGTCACCTTAGAAGGACATGTTACTGCATAAAAGTAGTACATCCCTGGAACTTCTAAATGCACTTCGTTTTTGTTTTCTTTCAAAGTTACTTTGAAATTAAAAGTATACTATCTTATTTGTGGTAGGGAAGAAAGCCCCTGAGAATTACTCTCATGACTAATTCTAAATCGATTGGAGAGGAAAATAATGAAAACTTGCTGTTTTCTCTAAGAAAGAAGGGGGGTGCACTCTGTATGGTTCCTAGAAATACGTTGACGTTGAAGACTTTTTTTTTAATAATTTACAATGATATTTGGGTCTTTTCAATAACATGTATTGCTCATCTCAGTATGTCCCTACCCTCATGGTAGATTCCTTTTCATGCAGTGTGCCTTTCTCTTGCAATAGCTGAAAATGGATTGCTTTGTAAAATTATTATGTGTTGAAAGTATTAGACTAACTTACGTAAGCCAGGTTGGTCTTCTAGAAAAGGCTTGTTGTTTTTGTAGTTTGTAGAAACTAATCTTTGAGTCTCGACTTCACTGTTTCACTAAGTTTGTACCCTTGTGCTGGTTTCTTGATTACTTACATTTCTCAGTCTCCTCATTTGCATTAGAATTAATAATATAAATAATAATAACAGCACTTATATTGTCAAGAAAAAATAATATGCAAGAGGTACTTCAAAACATCTGTAGATAGTGGAATTAAAAGATAATGCTTGGGACCAGCACTGTGGCAGAGGGGTTAAAGCCACTGCTTACAGTGCCAGCATCCTAAATGGGCGCTGTGTAGAGTTCCAGCTGCTCCACTTCTGATCCAGCTCTATGCTATGGCCTGGGAAGGCTGTAGATGATGGCCCATCTCCTTGGGCCCCTGCACCCACATGGGATACCTGGAAGAAGCTCCTGGCTTCATTCAGATCCATGCAACTCCGGCTACTGTAGCCATATGGGAAGTGAACCAGCAGATGGAAGATATCTCTCTCTTTACCTCTGCCTCTCTGTAACTCCACCTTTCAAATAAAAAAAAAAAAAAAAGATAATGGTGCACTTTCCATGAACCTTTTGAAGACCCTTCATGTGAAGTATACAGACCATAGTAGATTCTCCATGTGTCTCTGAGCTTCTAATTTCTTCTTCACCATAGTCTGTTTTTTCCCAGTTCTGTATTTCCTTCCCGTATTGCTGAGTGTATGGTCAAACTGACTGATGACTGCTTGTTTCCCAAGTCATGACATTGAAATAAAAACATCTTTCAAATTTCATTACTGAAGACCTCTGTCAAATAATTTATGTTCGTATTGGATGGTACTTTTAGAAATTCAAGGTAAATGGAATTAAAGGTTTATTTTGTTAGAAAAATTCTGAACTGCATACATGTGAAGGGTCTTCAGAAAGGTCATGAGAAAACTAGACATAGCTTTCAAAGTTTTTTGCACCAAAATCTTTTAAATCCGTTTTCCATGAACTTTTGGAAGTCCCCTTACATCTATGATCTTTGAAGCTTGGGGCAGGAAATAGATACTGGATCTCCTTTTTTTTTTTTTTTTTTTTTTTTTTGACAGGCAGAGTGGACAGAGAGAGAGAAACAGAGAGGAAGGTCTTCCTTTTGCCGTTGGTTCACCCTCCAATGGCCACCGCGGCCGGCGCACTGCACTAATCCGATGGCAGGAGCCAGGTGCTTCTGGGCTCCATGGGGTGCAGGGCCCAAGCACTTGAGCCATCCTCCACTGCACTCCCGGGCCACAGCAGAGAGCTGGCCTAGAAGAGGGGCAACCGGGACAGAATCCGGCGCCCCAACCGGGACTAGAACCCGGTGTGCCAGCACCGCAGGCGGAGGATTAGCCTAGTGAGCCGTGGCGCCAGCCTAGATACTGGATCTCTTAAAAATGCCAAGGACCACTTGAATGAAATTAATCTAAGAGACTAAGTTGGCTCCTAGGCCAAGGGGAACCAGAATTCCTAAACTCCTTTTGAATTTAGTAGTGTTCAGAAACAGTGCTTTACTCAAACAGTAGTGTATGAGTGCTGTGACATGTATATACCTTTTTTTTTTTTTTTGACAGGCAGAGTGGACAGTGAGAGAGAAAGAGAGACAGAGAGAAAGGTCTTCCTTTGCTGTTGATTCACCCTCCAATGGCCACCCCGGCCAGCGCGCTGCGGCCGGCGCACCGCCCCCGATCCGAAGGCAGGAGCTAGGTGCTTCTCCTGGTCTCCCATGGGGTGCAGGGCCCAAGCACTTGGGCCATCCTCCACTGCACTCCCTGGCCACAGCAGAGAGCTGGCCTGGAAGAGGGGCAACCGTGACAGAATCTGGCGCCCTGACCGGGACTAGAACCCGGTGTGCCAGCGCCGCAAGGCGGAGGATTAGCCTATTGAGCTGCGGCGCCGGCCATGTATATACCTTTTAATATTGGTTAAAGCAGAGATCTAACACATGGGCCATTTTTAGTTTTAGCACTTGCATACTTTTGCACTTAAACACTTAGATAACAGAAAATATGAAGATCTTTCAAACTCTTGAATTCAAAGCAATAATATTATAATCATAGATGATACTTGCTTTTAAAATAGAAATTTTAAGTGATTTTCCTTAGTTTGAGGAGTGGGTTTAAAAATCAAGATGATTCACTAGGGTAGTGAAAATTGAGAAACCATTAGTTTTCATCACATGGCTCTAAAACCATAAAGAATATCAGATGACATAACAAGATGATCCTGGGAGTGGACATTTGGCACAGTGGTTAAGTTGCTGCTCTTAGTGCCTGGTTTGAGTCCTGGCTTCTTTGCTTCTAACCCAACTTGTTAATAGTGCATATTGTGAAAAGTAGCAGGTGAGATAGTTGGTCCCTGCCACCTATATGGGAGACCTGGGTTGAGTTCTGGGCCTCTAGCTTTGGCCTGGCACAAAGCCTACCTATTGCAGGCATTTGGAGTGTGAACCAGGAGATAGAAGACTTTTGTCTCTGTCTCCTTGCCTTTGATGTAAAATTAACATAAATAAAAAGTTCTTAAAAGGGGGAAGTGATCATGATATAATTTAAAATAAAAGTTGAGGTTGGAGCTATGTAATGTCTAAATTTTGTTATATATAATTGTTTCATACATATATGAAACCTGAAAGTCAGCCTCTCTCCCAGATGTTAGCAGTTGCAGTACCAGGTGAAGGAATTAGAGATGACTTAAATCTTTCTATATACTTAGTAGTCATTTTTAATTCTTCTGTTATAAGCATGTGTGAATTAAGAGACAAAAGTCAGTAAGGGTGATTTTGGGAGTAAAACTTTAGTTCTGAAATATGCATATATAAATTTAACTTTATAAAACCTTGTTTCAATGAATTCATTTATAAGATGCTGCTTATTCTCAACATTCTTTTATATATTGGGAAAGTTAGAATATAAATTGTAATGCAAAGTAGGAAGAGTTTATTTTATATTGATTCATAACCCTCTTTAATCGTCCTTGTTTCTCTGTTTCATAGAACTTTACTCCTTCACCACTGTTACACCCTACTCTTTAATCTTGGCTCCCAAACCGGACTTTGATATTCATATCTGTATTCCTGCCTCTACTTTTCTCAGAATTTCTTTTACAACATGTTCTACATACTGTTACATTCTTCATCCGCATTCTAGCTGTGTGTCACATTGTAAAAAAATTTGGATGGCCTAAAAAGTTAGTATATAATAAAATGCTTACAGTTACCATCATGAGTGCCATAGGTGTATTTGCATTTCTTACTGGCACCAACTGGGAAGGAATTTCAGGCATCAGGGATAGTCACTTGTGGGAGATATTTTGGGAAAGTCCACACTGCAGAGACAGTTGCTTGCTATGCATAAAAGCCAGTTCTTCGCAATCACTATCTTCTTAGTCCTGTATATGGTTCAAGGTAAGTAACCAATTTTTTTTTAAATTACTGCCCCTTTTTAAAAAAACATACTACCAAAGAACATTTTTTTATAATAAGGAATACTGTATATAATTTCTACTTTTTTGGCAGAGAAAAGATAAAAGCAAAAATAATAATTTTTCTTATTGTTTTGGTTAGGCTAGTATATCCTGTGTGACTACTTCAAAAAACATCCCCCACAAGTTTTACAAAATCTATAATTTTTCTAGAAGTACCACTGGTGTAATTACTGTGTATTTGCTTACTTTCTTGTGTTGGAAAACTTCTAAAAGTCAGTTCTTCGTGCTCCAAACTCCAGAGCATATCACCTACATAAAACTTGACTCTGTTTTTAAGGATTTTTAATTGTCTGAATTCCTGATATGAATAAAATCAATTTTATAGCGCTTTCTTTGGCATTATCGAGTATTGTTGATCCTGTAGGGTGAAGAACAGCCATCAAACCATTAATTTTATAAATCTATCCATATATCTATACATGTCTGTTTTGATATTTATAGATACCACTTTTCCTAATTATAAATTTGATCTGTGATTTAGACCATTAGTTTGTCATATGATGTTTTAAAAACATTACTAAGTTATTATAAACGTTGTTACTGAAGTAGATGATTTATGTGTTTAGAGTGTTTGAATCAGGACATCCTGTTTTTTTGTGCCTGTGTTTCTTATTTCCCTTTACTCTTTGCAAGTTTAATTTCACTTTCATATTTAATCATTTTAAAAGGAAAGAAATTGCTCTAAGAAGACTTTCTTGATTTCCACTATTGTACACAGTTGGTCATGTTTTCATTTACTCTGGGTTCATACTTTGACCAAAAGTGCTACTAATAACTTAGATTTTTCCATCATATTTATTCCTATTATAAAGACAATATGACTTGAAAATGAAAACTTTACACTGACTCCAGTATGTCCAAGTAATTTAATAATTTTTAAATTAAACCAAACATGTTTAAATGTTACTCTGTTAATAAGCATTCAGATTATAAAAACAGCAATTATTCATCTAAAAAGAGGAATATAATATGGTGGGGTTTTTGTTGCATTTCTATATAATATTTAACTCTCAAGAAACATAGTGAAATTCAGAAGATAACTTTTATAGAAAACTTTTTGTGATAGCATTACAGCAGTTTTTTTTTTTCGTTGCTTTCTGTACATTTTTATTTGATAGTATTTATAATATAGTAGAATGGCCATGTGTTTGCTTTGGCAGCCCATAAAGTATTTACAATTAAGCCTTACATGTTTATTGTGTGTGAAATGGTTTTAATGTTTTTATATTTAGTAGTCAGAGTGTCGTCTCTGTGAATAATGTCTTTAACATATGTTTTCTGTATGTGTCTGTACATTAGATGGAAGATGATGCCCCAAAGCATGTAATCCAGATGACAGGATTTAAGATGGAAGAAAAGGAAGCTCTAGGCAAATTGCTTTTAAAACTAGATTGCACTTTTATTAAGAGTGAGGTAAGTACAGAAGCTTAACTCATCAAAATGTTAAAAGTATAATTGAAAGAGAATTAAAATACTGACAATAATAAAATGCTGCTTGGTATTTTAAAAATGTAAAGGATTTGTTGTTAAGGAAATCTCTAATATTTATGTGGATTTTTCCTTTCAGAAATACAAAAATTGTACACATCTTATAGCTGAACGTCTTTGTAAGAGTGAAAAATTTTTAGCAGCTTGTGCAGCTGGTAAGTGAACTGCCTTGCCTCCAACCCTTTAAACAAACTGCATGTTAAAGAAAAAGTATCCTAATCTCTGAAACAATAATGTGTTCATTACACCAAATATAAATTTGTTTCTGAAAATATGTATTTTTTGTTGTATTCAGAAGTAAAATGTTCTACCACATGAAAAATGTAAAATAGGCAAAAATATGTACTTTACCAAAGGTTTGGTGTAAGTGCTTTATTTAAGAAAAACAGGTTGTAACAAAAAGGTTAGTGCAGAATGCCAACATCTTAAGCCTTTGTTGAAGACTGATCTGTTCTCAATCAACTTTCTTTTCTTGGTCCATTCTTGGAATAATTTTATGTTTTGTTTTCCCTCCTGAGTTTCCCCACCTTTCCATGCTTTGTAACAGTGGTCGTACATTTATGTTATTAGATAGTAAATTTTATAGGCCCAAGTTATGACTTATTCTTCTTTCTTCCTTTTTTACCATTCAGTAAGTTTGTACACTAACAGAAACGTATTTGTAGTTTAATTTAGAATAAAACCACTTGGATTTCTCAGCTCCACAAATGAAAGAATACATTGTTTAAAACGGTTATTGATGTCTGGGTAAAGAAACTGCAGCATATTATTAAATGCCCTGAAAATTTCTCTAACTTGATAGATTTGTTTTACAGGGTTTAGCAGTGCTGTAAACATTATTGGAAGAGTTTTTAGCATATAATTAAAAATATAAAGTTAGCCCAAATAGTAAATAATCACAATAATAAAATATAATGACATTTTATTTTGAATTTTAAAGCTTTAGATTTAACAGTATTTAGATTTTGAATTGTCATGGGAAAGATTACATACTATGTTCATTGATGCTGTAGACCTGTTACAATCAAAAATTTAGAAAAACAAAAATAAAACAATTTGGATGAAGAATCTGATGTTGAACAGGTTGACTTTTTCTTGATGGCTTGATTTTTATTGTTTATCATCCATCAAAACCAAAATTATTTTGTGATGGACAGTTTTTTTTGCATTCTAGGAAAGTGGGTACTAACAAAGGACTACATAATTCATAGTGCCAGAAGTGGAAGATGGCTTGATGAAACCACTTATGAATGGGGATATAAAATTGAAAAAGACTCCCATTATTCACCTCAAATGCAATCTGCACCTAAAAGGTGGCGAGAAGAACTGAAACGCACTGGTGCTCCAGGAGCCTTCCACAGGTGGAAGGTTGTCCTCCTTGTGAGAGCTGATAAACGAAGTGATTCTCTTATAAGGTATGATGAAAGCTCATAAAAGCTAAAGCAAGGATGAGAAAACAGCTATGATTTGTATGAATACCTTTGTATAGCTCTGAAATTCTTAGCTTAAAACTTGGGAGCCATGGTAATTTACTCTTTGATCTCTAAGCCATCACTTTTAAGTTTTTGTGTGTTTAATAGAACAAAATCTGTATTACAGTGTATGTTTTACTTCCCATGTTATTTCTTCTGTACATCTCAAAATAAACAATAATTGCAAGTTTTTTTAGTTTCGAAGCTCTTAAGATTTTTGCTTGTAAGATATTACATAATATTTAAGGCTTTATTGTGCATTTATGTAGTGCTGTCTTCATGATTTATACTGTTTCCACTATAATTTAATCTCATTCTTTTTTTATATATAGATTTTTTTTAAAAGATTTATTATTTATTTGAAAGAGTTACACAGAGAAGGAGAGGTAGAGAGAGAGAGAGAGAGAGAGAGAGGAGAGAGGGAGGGAGGGAGGGAGGGAGAGAGATCTTCCATCCGCTGGTTCACTCCCCAGTTGGCCACAATTGCTGGAGCTGCGCCAATCTGAAGCAGGAGCCAGGAGCTTCTTCTGGGTCTCCCACATGGGTGCAGGGACCCAAGGACTTGGGCCACCTTCTGCTTTCCCAGGCAAAAGCAGAGAGCTGAGTCAGAAGTGAAGCAGCCAGGACTCAACGTGCTGGCACTGTAGACCAGGGCTTTAACCCGTTGCGCCATAGCACTGGCCCCTCTGTATATATTTTTTAAAAGCCACCTTGTTGGATAAACTAAATTTTAAAACTTCTGTCATTTTTGCCAGAGGCAGGAGGTAGTGATTTGTTTTTTTGTCTCTGAAATATAATTTATGGATAGTAAGATATATCCCTTTTAAGTATACATTTTGATAATTTAGGCAAGCTTATACACTCATATTTCCCTCACTGTAATCAAGATCTGTAACATTCTCATCATCCTTTAATGTTCCTTTGTGTCCTTGTACATTTAATTTTGTACCACCAATACCAGTTGCCTTATTTGTCACAATAGACTAAATTTGTCTTTTTCTAGAGGTTCATTTGTATGTGATTATATTAAGTATATTCCTTTAATGCAGCTTCATTTGCCTAGCTCAGTTTTTTTTTTAGGTTCAAACATGATGCAGTGTGCTAGCAGTTCTTTCTTTTGTTGTTGCTGACTGGTATTCCTCTGTGTGGCTGTCTCACAGTCTGTTTGTTCTGAATATGTTATTTTTTCCCAGAAACCTTTTATTTAAGGACTACAAACTTAGTACTTTTCATAACTACAACTTTAGGAACATGATGATTCTTCCCACCGTGCTCCCACCCCTCTTGCTACTCCCTCTCCAAATTCCCGTTCTTATTTTTTATTAATATGTAGTTTCATTTACTTTTATACACATATGTTTAACTCTGTGTTCAGTAGAGTTCAACAATTAGTATGGCAAAAAGAAAGTGTACTTCAGCAGTAGAAACAAGGACTGTCCCAAGTTATTGCTTCTCAAAGTGTCAATTTCACGTCTGTAGATTGCCTTTTAGCTGCTCTATTAGTTATCACAGATCAGGGAGAATTTATGGTCCTTTTGAAATTGGGTTATTTCATTAAGTATCATGTTTTCCAGTTTCATCCGTTTTGTTGCAAAAGACCAGATTTCGTACCTTTTTTCTTTTTTTACTGCTATGGTGTACATATCACATAGTTTCTTTTTATTTATTTTTTTTTTGGTCAAGTTTATGTTTTGCTTTTTTTTTTTTTTTTTAAGATTTATTTATTTGAGGGGCGGCGCTGTTGTGCAGTAGGTTAATCTTCTGCCTGTGGCGCTGACATCCCATATGGGTGCAGGTTCTAGTCCAGGCTGCCCTTCCTCCAGTCCAGCTCTCCGCTATGGCCTGGGAAAGCAGTAGGTGATGGCCCAAGGCCTTGGCCCCCTGCACCCACGTGGGAGACCAGGAAGAAGCGCCTGGCTCCTGGCTTCGGATTGGCGTATCTCCGGCCGTTGCAGCCATTTGGGGAATGAACCAACAGAAGGAAGACCTTTCTCTCTCTCTCTCTCTCTCTCTCACTCTCACTCTCTAACACTAACTCTCAAATAAAATAAATATAATCTTGCAGAAAAAGAAGATTTGTTTGTTTGAAAGTCAGAGTTACACAAAGAGAGGAGAGGCTGGGGGCGGGGGGGTCTTCCGTCTGATGGTTAACTCTCCAGTTGGCTGCAATGGCCAGAGCTGTGCTGATTCAAAGCCAGGAGCTTCTTCTGGGTCTCCCACGCAGGTGCAGGGGCCCAAGGACTTGGGCCATCTTCTACTGCTTTCCTAGGCCATAGCAGAGAGCTAGATCGGAAGTGGAACAGCCAGATCTCGAACTGGTGCCCATATGGGATGCTGGCTCTTCAGGTCAGGGTGTTAACCGGCTCAGTTACAGTGCTGGCCCCCACATAGCTTCTTTATCCAGTCCTCAGATGATGGACATTTGGGTTGATTCCATATCTTACCTATTGTGAATTGAGGTACAGTAAATAGGGGGTGCAGATAACTCTTTCATATGCTGATTTCATTTCCCCTGGGTAAATTCCCAGGAGTAGGATGGCTGGGTCATATGGTAAGTTTGTATTCAGATTTCTGTGGTCTTCCACAGTGGCTTTAAACCAGTTTACATTCCCACCAACAGTGGACTAGAGTACCTTTTTCCCAACATCCTCACCAGCATTTGTTGTTTATTAATTTCTGTGTGAAAGCCATTCTATCAGGGGTGAGGTGAAACCTCATTATGGTATCTGTTAGCCATTTGGATTTCTTCCTTTGAAAAACATTTGTTTAAGTCCTTTGCACATTTCTTAACTGGGTTGTTTATTTTGTTGATGTTGAATTTCTTGATCTCTATATATATTCTGATTATTATTCCTTTATCAGATGCATGGTTTGCAAATAATTTCTCCCATTCTATTGGTTGCCTCTTTGCTGAGTTTCTTATTAAAAAAAAAAAAAAAGTTGATTTATTTATTTGAAAGAGGAAAGAGTTAAACATAGAGAGGAGAGACAGAGAGAAGTCTTCCATCCAATGGCTCACTCCCCAGATGGCTGCAATGGCCGGAGCTGCACTGATCTGAAGCCAGGAGCCAGGAGTTTCTTCCGGGTTTCCCACACGGTTGCAGGAGCCCAAGGACTTGGGCCATCTCCTACTGCTTTCCCAGGCCATAGCAGAGAGCTGGATTGGAAGAGGAGCATCCAGGACTAGAACCAGCGCCCATATGGGATCCCAGTGCTTCAGGCCAGGGCGTTAACCCACTGTGCCACAGCGCCAGCCCCTGCTGAGTGTTTCTCCTGCAGTGCAGAAGCTTCTCAATTCAATGTAATCCTGTTTATCAATTTTGGCTTTGATTCTTTGTGCCTCTGGAGTCTTTTCCAATAACTCTTTGCCTGTGCCAATGTCTTGCAGGGTTTCTCCAATGTTCTCTAATAATTTGTTGGTATTGGCCATAGATTTAGGTCTTTACTCCATTTTGAGTGGATTTTTGTCCTGCTTCATACTTCTGCATGTGGAGATCCAATTTTCCCAGCACCATTTTTTTTTAGCTTTTATTTAATGAATATAAATTTCCAAAGTACAGCTTATGGATTACAGTGGCTTCCCCCCATAACATCCCTCCCACCTGCAACCTTCCCCTTTCCCACTCCCTCTCCCCTTCCATTCACATCAAGATTCATTTTCGATTCTCTTTATATACAGAAGATCAGTTTAGCATACATTAAGTAAAGATTTCAACAGTTTGCTCCCACACAGAAACATAAAGTGAAAAATAATAGATGATTTTTTAAATGATGATGAAATCAGATCAGACCTATTGTCATGTTTAATCCCAGTGAGAGTCAAGTTGGGAATTGATAATTTCTTTTTTTTTTTTTTTTTTTTTTTTTACAGAAGATCAGTTTAGTATACATTAAGTAACGATTTCAACAGTTTGCACCCCCATAGAAACACAAAGTGAAATATACTGTTTGAATACTTGTTATAGCATTAAATCTCAATGTACAGCACATTAAGGACAGAGATCCTACATGAGGAGTAAGTGCACAGTGACTCCTGTTGTTGACTTTACCAATTGACACTCCTGTCTATGGCATCAGTAATCTCCCTATGCTCCAGTCATGAGTTTCCAAGGCTATGGAAGCCCTCTGAGTTCTCCGACTCTTGTTTAGACAAGCTCATAGTCAAAGTGGAGGTTCTCTCCTCCCTTCAGAGAAAGGTACCTCCTTCTTTGAAGACCTGTTCTTTCCACTGGGATCTCACTCACAGAGATCTTTCATTTAGGTCTTGTTGTTGTGGTTTGTTTTTTTTGTTTTGTTTTGTTTTGTTTTGTTTTTTGGCCAGAGTGTCTTGGCTTTCCATGCCTGAAATACTCTCATGGGCTTTTCAGCCAGATCAGACTGCCTTTAGGGCTGATTCTGAGGCCAGAGTGCTATTTAGGACATCTGCCATTCTATGAGTCTGCTGTGTATCTCGCTTTCCATGTTGGATCACTCTCCCCTTTATTTATTCTATCGGTTAGTATTAGCAGGTAAAAGACTTGTTTATGTGATCCCTTTGACTCTTAGTCCTTTCATTATGATCAATTGTGAACTGAAATTGATCACTTGGACTAGTGAGATGGCATTGGTACATGCCACCTTGATCGCGGCACCATTTGTTGAAAACACTTTCCTTGCTCCAGGGATTGTTTCTAGCTCCTTTGTCAAAGACAAGTTGATTGTGCTTGGGTTGATTTCTGGAGTTTCTATTCTGTTCCATTGGTTTATCCATCTGTACCAGGCTGTTTTGATTACAACTGCCCTATAGTAGTTCCTGAAATCTGGTGTTGTGATGCCTCCAGATGTTTTTGTTGTATAAGAGTACTTTAGCTATTGTGGGTCTCTTGTGTTTGCATCTGAATTTCAGCATGCTTTTCTCTGTATCTGAGAAGAATGTCCTTGGTGTTTTGATTGATATCACATTG